GTTTGGACACCCTTAATGGTTTTTAAAATTTTTTTGTTGATTCAAATTTTTGGTATCCCCCCCCGTATAACCTTTGGGAAATTAACAACAACCTCTCCCCCCCCCCCCCCCCCCCCCTAAAAAAAATGAAGCACAAAAAGAAAGTATCTAAACCTAACCTAAAATAATCGTGAACTATCTTTACCCGAACCCAGATCCCCTAGTTGATTTTGATTTTGTTTTGTTTGTTTTTCTTTCGGTGCGCCGCTGCGGGTATTTCCGCCTGACTTATAAAGCAGGATTACAAAAAGGCCGCCCACCACCACCATGTTGATGCTGTTATTGTCTCTCGCCAGATTACCTAGGTATGCATATATATATCTTCGTCTGTGCTCATCCATCCTTACTACCATGTACGATCCAAGCATGGATATAAGGTAGGTTAGGTACAGGTACCTATATATGTGTGCATGGGACCTGACCTTGACACATCTTTCCCAACTCCGGTCCGGCCATCGTAGATGTAGATGTAGATGCAGATGTGAGATGTAAGGGCAGATATCCGAGCCGAGCCGAGCCGAGATCCAGTGTAACCCGGAGACATCATGTAGTATGGTACCATTATGAAGTTGCTTAGGTTAGGTAGGTAGAATATAATCGCTGCGTTGGAAACGAAATTCGAAAAAAAGAACCAATTAGTATTAAAGGAGATCCCACTTTGTGCTGACCCATACCCATGTGGCGGCCCCGTCCTCGCGTGGGAAGTTGTCGAAACCCCCCCTTGTAGAGTCAGTCAGGTCGAGTTCAACTGTATTTATTGCTGGGACCAAGCAATGGACATCGGGATAGAGATAGTATCCTCGTTCGTCGTCTCTTAATGATTTAACTGCTGCTCACTTGTGGTCATTACCAAGTGCTACAACAACATCACTTCTCTATCTCGTTTCCCTCCCCCCCTCTTTCTTTGTTTCTTTATCTTGTTGTTGTTGGCGTTGAAATTCCATGAAAAACGAGAGACGGACGAATCAAAAACAGAAAAAGACGGAAAGATGTATAGCAGGTATAGCCTCCCCTGGATTAGCAATGTGTGGTATCTTGCATTCAAAAGAGAGAACACCACCCAGAATTCGATATGTAGGCAGGTTAGGTAGGTACGTATGTGCGCGGAGGAAAGGTGTGTGGTAGATGGTAGATGATAGATGGTATAGTATAGTCCAATCTTTATCCCTCTTTCAGTTGCTAAAGACGTGATATTTGCACGGGTTCCCCCGTAACGGGGAATGCCGCGCGGGGGAGGGTTCTAGTAACCTCTGTGGTGGGTAGAAAACGCACGGCCGTAGTGGTCTTCGTGCACCATGCTAGGACTGCTGGAAGCGGTCGCAGTTTCGCTGGAGGCGATGCTAGACTGGTCTATGTCATATTGACCATAAGCAGTTTGTTGCTGTTGTTGTTGCTGTTGTTGTTGCTGGTGTTGTGGGAGCACCATGTTGCTGGGGAGAGCACCCCTCGGCATGCTGCTGCATTCTCCGAAGCTCTCCTGGTAGGGGAGGCCGTCCGGGGCAGCGCAGCGCAGCTGGTACATGCTGTGCTGCTGGGCAAGCGGCGGAGGCTGGGGTCGGTGAGGTTGTTGCGAAGTACTCGGCGTTGTCGAGCTTGGGTTTCTGAGCTTGACTTTGCGGCCAGGTCCTCGGCCTTTGATGCCCTTGTTGAGGTTCTTGTACAGCTCGGTGAAGTGTTTGAAGATGATCTGCTCTTCTGCGGATAGCTCCTCGCTACCGGTCATGTTGCGGACCCTCTGCGTCAGCCTTTTGATGGTCTCTCTGTGATACGCGTTATGGTGAGTCTATGCCAGGAGGAGTCAGTTAGTAATTATGCTTATGCCGCCATCGAACAGTAGAGCTTGGGACAAGTGTGATTTCGCATACTTTTAAATTTCCCCGCTGACTGAAGGTCTTCGGGCACCCGTCAAGCATGCAGACGAAAGGCTTGGTACGGAAGTGAGTGTTTCTATGCGGCTTTACGTTCCCAAGCTGAGCGAAAGACTTCTTGCAAATATCACACTGAAATGGCTTCTCGCCGGTGTGTTGTCGAATGTGTGCCTGGTCTGCTAGTTAGATACATAGGTAACCTTGTTATATGTTGTTCAGGGGGTAATGTAATCATCATACCTTCAAGTTACCTCTCTGGCTAAACCCTAGACCGCATCCAGGCTCTTTACATACCTGGGTTAAGAAACAATGTTAATGCTAGTTTCAACAAAGCTTGGGGGGCGAGGCAACCGTACATAAGGCTTCTCTCCTGTGTGGGCTCGCATGTGCGTTTCAAGCTGGGTTTTCTGAGCACATCGTTTCCCACATCCCTTGAAGTCGCAGACATAGCGCTTCTGACGGGGTTTCCCGCCGCGGCCACTTGTAGTATTAGAGCTTTTACCTTCCGGGCTACAAGACTTCCTGCGCAAGTTGAATTTTTCCTCATCCTGGCGCGGAGGAGAAGGGTAGAAAGCCTCCACAGAGCTGGGTTCCTCGTTGGTCTTGGTGCCCTTCAACTGGATTGCCTTCATTAAGTTGTCTATTTCCGTATGGAATATCACTTCGCTAGCTTCATCTTCGATGGCATTGCGGGCAACGGTTTTTGATATAATAAGAGGAGATGGGGAGGGGGATCGCTTGATTTCAATCTGTGGCTCGTACTTGATATGTGCTTTTCCCTCTGGCTCTACCGGATTCGTTCGGTATGGGTCCCTTTGATACCCAACTTGTACTCCTCCAGCATCAGTGGATATCGTACGCAAAGGTGGACACTCCTCTTGATAGTGCTTGTAAGACGGTACAACGGGAGGGGACGGAGGCGTGTATGAACCGAACATGAAGTGATTGCCGGCCGGGTATTGCGGTGCTTGCGGGCTGGTCACGGCATACGAATTTCCTACCAGGAACTGTGTAGGCATGTCCGATCGGTGAATGGGTGCGGCGCTCGTCTGGCCCTGAGAATATGGTATGAAGCCTGACGGATCGACCATCAGATAATCTGCATTTTGCTGCTGAGGAAAATACCGTCCCCAGGGCTGGGGGTCCGGTGTCTGTGCAGTAAGAGCCATTCTGGCGGTTGTGGAGGGGAGGGGGCGGCTAGTTTTGCAATAAGTAAAACTAGTCAGTTAGATTCACGATAATATCGAGTCAAAAAGTATTTTGTGAATCGCCGCGCAAAGTTAGAATATTGGCTTTGGAACACGCTCTAGGGCTTGGTTCTGAGGCTGTGAGGATAGACGAGTAAGTATCGTTAAGATCTCGAGTGATAAACTATGACGCTTTAAAACAGAGAGCCAACCCCTAAAGGAATGAAAATACGAATAGACGGTTTGCTAAGTAAACGAAGCAGTTTAATGTTCGACCGAATAGGTCCACGATGGTACCACCGAAGTTCAGGAGGGAGGAAACAGGTCCCGGGCCTTCGTGAAGTATATATCTCTCTCTCGAAGAGCGGGTTCAGTGATGTGCAACTAGGGGTCGATCTTGGGGAGCCAGCGGGTTGGGGACGCCAGCTCGGAGATCAGATCTTGAACGCCAAGATACGCGGAGAAGCTTGGACTTCTCGCAATAGAAGCTGAATACGATGTAAGTGGTTAAGTATCAGAGATGGGCTGGTGGAGTACACCATCTCTTGCCTCATATCAAAACAACCCCACACTAGTAAACCATCTACCCTGGGCTTAGAAACATAACTAGGATACCTGGGATTGAGCCAGCCTGGTTCTTTCTACACGGTAGTACTACCTATGCTAATAGAAATCGGAGAGGGTAACGAAGGGGGGAAAAGGCCCTGTTCGTCAGATAGCCACCAAGGCAACTGGCAGATCGCCGAATCTGTACACTAGCAGCAGGTAGCTCGACGAGACATTCATCATTCACAATGCATAGGCTGGATTAGATAGGTGGTCGAGAGATCCTAATGCCGGCCAAAATCAAGTAGTACGGGGGGGGGACTACCCGCAGGACCTTTTGCCCATTCAACGCAGGGGATACCTATACGTATACACACGTATACGTGTATACCTACCTGACTAGATCTAGGTACCTGAGGTATGTATAGGTATGTCTACCTATGTACACCTCGTTGTACATAACCACCGAGCCGGACGAATACTAGGCTTGATGGCCGCCGCCAGTGATAGACAAGGCCGCCTTCTAGCAGCGGGGAAGACCCTGCGGCATCCCCCTCGACCGCCTAGACAGCAAGGTGTACCTAACGTTATGTTTAGGGCGACACGTCGACAATGCGATTAGCCATATTGATTCTCGAAAATCAGCTAGCCCGCAGAGCCAGACATGAATTTGTTTGGCTCCCCACGTAGTGTGGCATCCAATCCGTAGCTGGCCAAGACAGGGGGTTGGCGTAGGGGAAGGGGGGTTCTGGATGGTACATACAATACCATGATGACCGTAGAAGTAAAGTACCTCACGTAGAGAGAGTGAACGAGAGGGCGGGATCGAAAAGAGCTATGGAAATCCCAATAGAGAGATGGGAAACCCTATGGTCAAGGAGCGGAGACCCGGGCCTCCCCCTGTAGCTGGAATTTTCCTGCCCATCGGGGCAATTCCGCTAGAAATACACCCCCCAACCCCTTGATCTTGGCTTAATTGATCGAGTCATATACTATGTACCTATTCGTACGTACAAATTGCTATTCCTTATTTGTATAGAAGTCGGCTTAATATGGCTTGTTCCAGCGTGATGGATAGCCCTGGTCTCTCGAGTGCCACCATCTACTAAGTAGATATGACAGAATATTATGTAGATCCGTCAAAGCTGTCTGTTTCACTGTGTAATTGTTGTAAAGGTCTTTCACCTACCACCTAGTAAATCGGGTCTAACATACGGGCTTCCTAATGAATAGCCTGCCACGTATAAGTTTCATATTAGCAGAGAGAGCCGTCAAGGACAAAGCTCTTCTCCGGTTTTTAATACGTGGTACTCTCCCACCTGGTAGATCTCTCTAAACTTGCCTCCGCCTGGGTATCGAAGTCTGTATACCTACCTACCTAGGTATGTATGATTAGGTAGGTCGTCTTCAGTCGGAGGCGGGAGTAGCCGTTCAAAGTCGCATCGCTTTTACACTGGGCTCAACCAGTCGTAAGGCCGAATTCGTATTCCGCGCGCACCATGATACAAACTAATGACGTACGGGGGCGTACGCCTTCAGGAACCAAATTAACTAAAGAGGCATCCCAATATGGGCAAGGAGAAGCCAGGCGGAAACCTCCATCCAGCTGATGTGGGAAGGGAACAGGGGATGTTAGGATGTCAATAGAATTTCGAGAAGTTAAGAAAAATGGTCACTTCTTACATAGTATGTACTGTGTACCTAAATAGGATCTGCCCCCCTGGAATCGATGTACTTGAATGAGCAAGGGTCGCCAGATCTTACTACATATTATGTAGTAGTAGAAAACTAATTAAATCAAAGCATGGGCGAGACTGGGACTATCCTTTCTAGTTGACTTAAGGCACAAGGATTACGATATTAAATTTTTTTTTTTTTTTGAAAAAAAAAAATACACTCTTTATCCTAGTTAACAGTGATACAATTCACGGCCCTACCACATCAAAATATTATGGATTCTCCTGGTTTATTAAGCAACACAAAAACCGTTAGGTTTTTTTTATTTATTTTCTTATTATTTTCTTCCCTTGAGCTTAAGGTTAGGTACCTATGCGTACCTAGGTAGTCACGAGCGCAGACAATAGGTAGTAGTTGAGTATTGAGCAGAAGGTTCTAGATCAATCTTTTGTATCAGTTATACGTATATTACCGCCGACCCCGAACATGGGCTTACGGCAACATATATTTTTATTCTTATTATAAGTTGAATTCCTCACCGCAATACCTATATCACTGGTTAATTTCCCCAAGGAGGCTCATCGTCCCTATAGAAAGTGGTATATGCATGACAAGCTTCTTAGATGTTTTCCACAGGGGGGACTGTCAGATTGCTGTACCACATTACCCTGGAACATGATGACGAGAAAGGAAACACTATCGAAGAAGAACAATTCTATCATGATAATCGTCCGCATGTACGACGTAATTAAATTGCCTGGTTGCTCATAACGTCTGTTCCAATTCGGGGAGTTTGGTGAGGTAGTTATGTCTCACAGCGCACGCTAGCAATCAATCAATTTCACGGTCACTCATCCACCATCCCCGTATCGTAGGCGATCATCTGTCGCATCTTGTCAGCTTCGCTGTTCGCATGGTATTTACTCTCTTACATGCTAGGTCTGTCAAGCAAGCAGCCTGCTGTTCGGAGAGCCGGCATCGTGTGATTGATCCCCTAATCTAGTAGGTATTAGTATTCCAACTTACATTTACATGCCATTCATTCCGTAGCACTGGTTCAATGCAAGCCACGTGGGTCTCTGTCTGGCGATCATTGGGAACCTCCGGAAACTCCTGATGTCCTGATACCCCAGATTCGGTTCCGTTGGGCAAGACGAGGCGAGGTAAGGCAGGGTAAGGCAAGGCTACATGTTCGCACTCGGACGGGCAAGCCACGATCCAGGCCTCGAAGGATGGAGGGGACGAATCTCTAGGGTTGGTGCAGAAATCTCAGCTTGCTACATTTTGCAAGGGGCAAAGTGTAATGGAATGGGGATCTGTTGGTTGACCAGTGATCTCTCGAACGTTTCAGGTCGTGAATGTAACCCAACAAGGGTAGGGGAGCATCACCTTTGCTCGCCCAGGGTAGGCGGGAACCAAGGGATAAATCATATATCAGTTGCTTGGTAACTTGTGTACCTAACGTAAAAAGAGCCTGAATGGTTAGGTAAGGTTATAACTTGGACCGATTTCTCCACCAATCGGCTGCTCTAAGACAAAAACTTCTCGAGTTTAGATATGCAGTTCAAGCCAGCAAGGCTAAGGCTTCGGCTCCAATATAGTTACCTATGCGGTTTATCGGACAGCAAGCGCCTAAGCTGCTAAAAGTTGAATGGAGGTGAGGAGAACCAGGTGCGCAAGGTTCCCGCTTTTCTCAACGGGAACGATCCAGAGTTAAGTTGAGCGGCTATAACGTCGTATCCTTGTTAGTGTTGAAAATCCTTGTCAGCTTAGTTCCCAGCTGGCTGGTTGACGGTAAGATCCACCTGGTTCGAGAAGACTGATTGGCTTTCTTCAATCTCGCTATGGGACTGGGGTCAAAAAGACTTTGTACTATGTAACAGCCGGCCACATCTTCACATATAACCATGTCCTAGTATCAGCATTATACAATCCATATTAAAGGAAATAATGGCCAATATTAAAGATTGGGGGTATTGCTCACACGAAGAAGATATCTATTACGATATCTCCGAGATGCTATTTATATATGAAGAAAGCATTAGGGTTAAACGTGTAAGAAACTAACAAGGCTACCTACCTAACCTACCTAGGTATTGTCGGATTTAGCAAGGGGCAAGGGATGAGGTTACAAGGAATAGATTGTTGTTGCCCACTCACACGAATTTTTTCTCAACAGACCGCTATCCAGGTGAATTCCGTACGGAGCATCTACCTACCCGTCTCTCCGCGTGGCTCACCGCTAGCCGAGCTAAGGGTCTTTTGCGCAGTTCACCGTTGAGTGTATACATAGTAGAATATTACTACCTACCCATCATACAAGGATCCAGTTAGAAAGTCTTGGATCTTCTAATTAGTCTGTTTCCACACTCATCGTATAACCCTGTGACAGCTGGAAGAGAAGAGATTACTGTTACTAGTTAAGACGGAAGACGGTGCGATTGGTAGTCGAGTGTGATATGTGAAAAAAAGAGTCCGAAGTGAACGCTAGGGGGCTTTCGTCGGCGTCGATATGACTCCGCAACGAATTTAGCAAAACGGAAAATATTGAGCGGGTTCCCAGATACCCGGATCTCAACCTCTCTGTGCGTCCAATTACGCCCCTTTGGTCAACTATGAAGGGCAATAGTCAAGAAGCCACCACTCTTAAAGAGGCTTAACCTCAACGTCACACGAACCGCCAAAGATTATTTGATTACTGATACAATATCGTATAGTTGAGCTTTAAGTGCTAGGTAGATCCTGTATGTACCATACCTTAGGTACCTTTTTGACCAGTCAAGTACGTAGGTAGATTTTAACAGATGGCGACGGAGGTGGGGAAGCGGTGATAATCGAGCTGAAATATAATCTGGGTACTTTGGGTATAAACGACGAGA